ATACATACATACAATAATGTCTCCGTAATTGACGCTGAGATTATCCACAAAAATAGACAGTTTACGTAGAAGAGATACGATTATTCGAGCCTAGCAGCTCGTTTTTATAACTGTTGAAAATCGGTAACTATAAAAACCGAGTCGCGAGGCTCGAATTCGCAAGGCTCCTCTTCCCAAATTGTCTATTTTCGTGCGCAATCTCAGCGTCAATAAGGGAGACATTACTATACTATGTTTTGAAAACTTTGAAATTCGTGCTGGAGATTCTGTTGCACCGGGAAAGTCTTTCCGATCGAGGCGTTGATTTCTAGATGAATAATCGTCGATTGTAAAAAGGATTAAGACGAATGAAACGAGACGTTTTTTGAGTTCACAGAATTTTGTTTGGACGTATCACATTTAATTGCCAATTGTTACCGCAGCAAGCTGTGCAACAGAATTCGGCATTGCTAGTGCATCTTTCCCAAAGAGATTCTTGAATGCATTTTATTCGGGCGAAAGCGACACGACGATTCCCGCAGGCATTTAGTCGTTAATTAACACTAACGACTAATCTGCATAGGAACGCTCGTTCATCGGTCTCGCCCGAGTCTATTTCGTGTGGACCCTGCTCAGAGTCTAAAACGCGCACCGGTCGCTGCGACTTCAGTTTTATACAATTTAACCCGTCTAACTGTACTTATATCACTTTCAATAAATCTGCATTTTTTATACCTGGACGCTGGACCCTGTTGATTGCTATTTCTGTTCCGCTGCGAGCATTGTTTCCATCGTGCCGCTTCTATTTCTTGCTTTCTATCGTCGTATGCCATTAATGTCTACGTGCATCTGTTCATCTTAGCAAATTGAAAAAATAAATACTCGCACGATTCTTAAATATTATTATACGTAAGATCTTATAATAATGCTTCGTCTATTCGTGGAAACAAATAAAAAAATTACGCATCGTATAGAAACAGGGACAAGATTCGTAGGAGGGCTAAAGATAGACAAATTCTGAAAAAGATCACGATATTTAACCCTTTGCACTCGAGTGGTGACTCCGAGGCACCGGTAAAAAAAATTGTTACACCATGTTCCAAGATAATTTTTACACTATCAAAGCTTAGATATAAGAAGAATTGTTAAAAGCCTGACTGCTGTGCGAGTCACAAAACTCGATTTCACGCGCACGAAATGCGCTTTGTCAAATAAAATGGAAATACTACAAGTCGGAAAAGTTGATTGAAATTTACAGTTAAAATTACTTCCAGCGCAAAGGGTTAATTTACTATATAACTAGAATAAAGAATTTGTATCTCTCTCTGAAATATGTCAACGACAATTGTCCATAGAATTATGATCTCGTAAGGAATTTTATAAAAACACGTAGAAACAATGTTCATAGAAATTATTCTCCAAAGATGCACGTAGACCTTTCCTCGACTCTTCTCGATTGTAGCAACGAATATGACCAGGGAACGTGTAGGTGGAATAATTAGTCGGCACGGTTACATAACATATTCATTTTGTTTATGATCTCGTTTCATAATATAATATTATCTGCTTTAAACAACACTAATATATATATCTATATATATATTTCTGTATGTTTCTCAATCATAATCGTAGACCGTCTCGTCGGCGCTCTATTAATTACAAAAAAGAAAGGGAAAGGAAAGTATCGCTAACACGTTTCCAAAAATATGAATACATATAAATCTCTCTCTCCTCGCTGTATCACGAAGTGTCGAACGACGGTCCCATTAATGCGCGCCTAAACGACATTGCTGATCATCCGATTCTTTCTCTCGTCGCATGCGATTTCATCTTAACCACCTAGGCTCAGGTAAGAAATGCGAATATACGTTTCTCGGACTGGCGAATTTTTCGAGGGGGGTGGGGCGGGGGGCAGGAGGAAAGAGGAAAAAGAAGTGGAAAGAATCTCCGCGATGGCGGGCCGAGGCTCTCCGTTATCGAAGAGGCTGCCTGATCCTTTTATATTTATTATCTGTACATCAACTGGACGTTACGCGGGTAAAAAACTATTCTATGAAGATCTAGACCATCGCGGAGATCGCTCTAATGCGGAAACATGTTCCGTAAAGCGATCGAATCCTTCCGGCGCTGTTCTATATTACGACAACAAATTCTACAGATTGATACAAGGTGTAGAATCCTCTAGAAAAATTACACGACTGAGTCTTTTAACCAGCGACGAGGATTTTGCACCTTAATATTTATTTTGGCGTAATGATATTCGGGATTAAGTATTTCGATTGACTTCTCAAGCATGTAGGAACAGACGATAATTAATAAAAATTTATTTATAACGTATGTTCGTAGATTGGTATTCGCTATAAGAGATTCTTAATCAATGGTGATTCGTAATCCATCTTAATCTCTGGCGTTGATAAGTTTAATTAAGATTTATATTAATTTCAATTTATTGAGACTGATTTGAAAAATGTTAGATAGGTTCAGTTCCCTTAGAATTAGTCTCAAGAAAGCGCAAACGCGAAGTTTCGTTGCCAGGAGGAGTTCGTGAGAGATATTCGTTCGTCACCGTCAAGATGGCGTCACCTGTCAGCATGAGCGCGGATCTGGTGACATCGATGCTTGGTAAAGCTCCATCGTCGGATACGAAACAATAAATGCATATGTCTAACACCTTTCCGGTCGACTTGTTTCGCTTTCTTCGCTTTTTAGATATTCCAATATATTTAATCTTAATTTAAGAAATATTCTCTAAATGTGACGCCACCATTTCAATTTATTCTTCGTTCTACCAAGATTTCGCACCCCAAAATATTTGTTGTCGCGTTCCCTGCAACGGGGTATAGTGGTAACAATAATTATCGTGATTCCTGAACCTCGTTCATCATATGTATTCTGTGTTTAAACTTTAAAAGATCGGGCGACAGCGGGTTAACATATATTTTCCGAGCCAACCAGAGTCGCTAAAATTTCATTCGCAATAAATACAACGATATTACTAGTTTAAAAACCCAAAGAATCGTAGCGAAAGTGTCCGAGAACCGGGACAGCGGCTCTGAATAGCTCTATCCAGCGCCGAAAGGATTCTAGAAAGCCGTAGAGAAGCGTACCTCGCGTGATAAAACTGAACAGCTATTTAGGTAAATGCTGGTTAATGTCGTTAATTAGTCTGAACAGCGGTAATCAAGTTTCCAACGGTCGTTACTTTCCTCTGTGATTCGTCATCGAACGGGCAAACAGTAACGAAACAACTCTCATGTATCAACAACAACCATACTTTTCGTCTCGTTAACCTAACTAGATTTCACTTTCAAAAAATATAGTTCTATATAAAAGAAAAGAAAAATAAAAAAAGAGAGAGGGGTGGGAGGGGGGGGGGTGGATATCGTTCAACTCGCGGTCATACATTCAACAAACGTTCTGCTCGTGATAATCTCTTTCTTTCTTTCCNAAAAAAAAAAAAAAGGAGGGGGGGGGGGGGGGGGGGGGGGGGTGGATATCGTTCAACTCGCGGTCATACATTCAACAAACGTTCTGCTCGTGATAATCTTTTTCTTTCTTTCCATGTTCGATCCGGATCGATCCTCGTCCGGATCGCCGTACGCGATTCGATCTTTCTAATTAGGGGGGGGGGGGGG